CTGGCAGCAGCACAGCTCCAGCTCCAGCGTGGCCAGCTCAGCCCCTTCTCCCTTTGGCAGAGGGAACAAGGGCATGGATGATTGTGCTGATAGCAGGAGTGGTTTGGGACCTTCCCATGTGAACCACTGCTGACAGGAGCAAGAATTTGGATGATAACTGGCCCCCCAAAGCTGCCTGTTACAACATCTCAAATGCCAAAGTACAATTTGAATTTTTAAATGACAACACCTACTACATGAAGCTCCAGTGCTCAGTTGGCTCTGAAGCAAGAGCAGTTCCTACTGCTGTCAAATTCCCAGGCTGAGCTTTGGAGACACAGGCAGGCAACTACCTTAGGAATGAAGCAAATCAGGTTATTTGCAGAATTCTTTCAGGAAGTTTGAAGTCAGGTTAGACAGTTATGTGGCTGTGCCCATGACAGCTCACATAGCAGGAATGGCTGAGTCAGAGGCAAGGTGGACACCTCCCATAGTCAAAATATTGTTGGAAGAACACCAGCAAAAAGCCATTATCTGTTTGTCAGGTGCAAACCCTGGGCCTGCTCCCTTTCCCACATTTAAGCCCAGCCAGGCTCCAGGGTAACAAAATATCCCAGAATGGTTTGGGTTGGAAGGGAACCTAAAGAACAACTCATTCCAATCCCTCTCCAACCTTCCACTATCCCAGGTTGCTCCAAACCCCATCCAACACTTCCAGGACACCTCCAGGGATACATCTCCAGAATTCCCACTTCCCTCCCAGCACACATTTTCTGCATGATCTTTCATCTGCTGTGTTTTCTTCATCCTTCATCTCCACCACCAGTATTGGATTTAGTTCTTTTCTGACATTAAATTATTTCCACCCTTTTGTTGCTAAAATTGCATGAAAACAAAGTTTGGTAAACATGCCGTGAAATTTGAGGATATAACATGAAAGGTAATTAATTACACTCTGCATAAAATGCTTATGTATATAAAGTGCTTTAAATATGCTTTATGGGCTTGGCAGAACCCAGCCCCTTCTCCAGAGCCTCCACCCCTTTTGGGAGATCTGTGTTCAGTTATTTTCCTGCTGTAACACTTCACTTTTCCTGAACTGATGGCAAATGGGAGCATTTCTGGCTCTCTAGAGTGAAGTGACTTTCAGAAGTGATCTGTGGGACACCCTGTGCCTCACAGAGCATGACAATACCTGCCCCAGCTCCTTCCCCTGCTGCAGAATGTTCCAGTCAGTGATCCAGGGGAAGTGACATAAAGCCTGCTGCCTCTGAACATCACCCAGGCCCTAAACAATATTGAACTGTGCTGTTTGTCACCCATGAGCTTAGCAGAGAAAATGTACCAAGACACAACCAATGTGATGATGCTTCATTAATCAGGGAAGCAGCCAAGGCCAGAACCACTCATGGCAGGACAAGGGCACCATGTCACCACTCTGAGGCAGGATCAGGCCATCCTGGTTTTTCCCCAAAAAGAAAAAGTCAGGCTGCTCTTGCTCCTGCTCATCTGGTGGATCCCAGCTATTCCAATTCCCTGTACAATTCTGCTGCCTGCAAGACAAGAGAGTGACTCTGGATGAGGATCTGGAGGGACAAGACAAGGGGGAATGGTTTCCCATTAGGGTTAGAGGGATAGTAGGAAAAAATTCTTCCCTGTGAGGGTGGTGAGACCCTGGCACAGGCTGCCCAGAGAAGCTGTGGCTGCCCTGGATCCCTGGGAATGTTCCAGGCCAGGTTGGATGGGACTTGGAGCAACCTGATCTACTGGAAAATGTCTCTGCCCATTCCATGATTCTATAATCACATTCAGCTTGCAATGTTGGACTTGTCTCTTCTTTCAAGTCCCAGCATTTTATTTTCTTTTCTCTTTCACAAGCCAGTCATTTGGTTGTGAATATTTCTAGATTTTTGTGTAAAGGCCCCTCTGTCTGAAACATCTCAGCTTTCACTTGTCAGGTTCCCAGCATTCAGAGTCACAAAGAAATGCCAGAAAGTGGAAACTGAAAATCCATCATAAAAGGGCAGAAATCAAGCAACAAACAGAGAGGATGTTAATATAGTTAAAATGAAAAACAACCTAGAAAAATTATAGTTTTCTTCCCAGTTTAACCCATTGTATGTCTAAGTCTAAGATGTGGCAGTGATGATCCCTGTCTGTGCTGGAGAGGAGTCCCTTCTCCTCAAAATAGTTCCTTGGCTTTTCCTGGCTCCCTTTAGAAACTCTCCTAAATCCCCTATCCAGCTTGAAAACCCTCACCAAGAAGTATCTATAACCTCTGTAATCCCTTTTATGGTGTTAAAACTGAATTCTTGACAGGTGGGTCATTCCAATTTCAACACAAAATTGGCCATGATGGGAAACATGAGATTTCACACGATTTTTTCCAGTCTGTGCTGTTTAAAGGAGTGACTGGGAGCAGCGATCTCACTGGATCAGAGGGACCAGGCTGCTGAATATCTGCAACTGCCAAGCACAAAGAATTTCAGACAAAATCAGTGAAATCTATCACAAACCTCCATGAACTGGCTGGACTTCACCGTGCCAAGGAGAACGTGGACTAACAATCCTACTTTGGGAAAAGCAGGGTCCACAACTCACAGCAAGAAATTATTTGTGATTTTTTTTTTCATCTGCAGCTGCCTCCACCATTCAACTGGCAGCAGTTGTGAGGTCTATGCACAGCTTGGCACGTTCAGGAAGAGCCTTAAATGAGGCATAACCTTAGCCCAAGGCTAAATCCTACTCTGGATGCATCACACACCCCTACATGAGCTCCCCTCCCGGGGATGTGACAGCGACCCAGCTATGACTAGGGACAATCCCACATACTCACCCTAATTTGTTCTGTGAGCTTTAAAAAAGCAAATTATTTTTGTGAAATAAAGGAGGGTTACACTAAGCAGCTGCCTGTTTCCAGGCCTGAGTAACTAGGGCAAAGTTTGATCCGTTTCAAAATAGCGTTAATATTTTTAATGACCCATAAGCCCATTTTTAGAACAAAGCAAGGACTTTCTCCTTTCTGCCTTAGTTTCAGGAAAAGCCTCCTTTGCCAGCTGAAAAATGTAGCAGTGGAATAGTCACCCCATGGACTGATGTCACCACACAATGCTGCAGTCACTGGATGTAAACACAGCTTTCAAGGCAATGAGGTTTTGTTGTATAAATAGAATAAATAAATTTATTAAAGGCAGCTTTTTCTTTCCTAGTAAAAAATTGAAGCGTTTCCCTCTCTCAGTTTCTCACTTGCAACGTCAACCAGCCTGGCAAAGAGCCAGGAAATCCTCTAGGAACAGGTGAATGTCTATGGGATACAGGGAATGATTTTGAGCTGTGGATGATGGGCGGCAGCAGAAGGCGGCTGATCCCACAGAGATCCACTTGGATCCATGGACGCTTCCAGATTCTTGCAGAGAAGCTCAGGAAGAGTTCATGCCATCAGTGACACATCACATTTCCCAGGAGCAGGGCTCAGCAGCACAGGCTGAGGGATCTTTGCTGGACCCAGGCTGTACTTCCCAGGTGATGCTTTCTCCGTTTCCATCCGGCATCATTTGCATTCCCTCCTCCCGCTCTCAGGATGTGCAGGGAAGGCACCAGCGTGTGGACGTGTGTGCAATTCCCAACACTCACAGAGTCAGGGCTGACACGTCTGTCACACGCTCCGCCAGACAAAGCTGAGAATGGCACAACATTCCCTGGCAAGTTTTCCCTCTGGTTTACCCAAGGATCTGAGGACCTTCATTAAGCCCCAGTTAAACACGGCACCGATCAAATAAGCTTCGCCCATTTTCTCCCCCCCTCTATCCCAAAACGCCCATCACCGGATCAGACACTCCGTTATCCCAACGCTTCCTCCAGCATGCCTTCGAACTGTTAATCATTGCCATGGGAAATCCTACACTCATCTACACAAATTAGAATGTAATTTGTGTATCTAAACATCACAGCTCAGCTGACCCGCTCTGCCTGAGGAGCCGGGATACCGCCGGCACCCGTTGAGTGAGCTCACATGGAATTACGACTCCGGAGGAAACGGCGAATCACTCCCCTCAAATAACGGGAAATGGCTGGGTAAAATCTGATTTCCTAGGGAACAGCGTGGCGGTGGCAGGGGGTGAAGCGATACATCACAGGTGGAGGAGCCCTTTGCTGGGTGCTGCCCACCTGTGGGACCAGCTCGGGCTCCAGTGGGAAGCAGCAGCTGCTGGAGGATCCAGGCGCCTCTGGAGGGAACCGAAGCCTTGCAGGAAGACACCACAGAACTTCCTCCTGCCGTCACCCCGGCACCGCCGCCCCGGCTCCCCCGGGATCGGGGGGCTCTGAGGGAATGGCTTCAAAATGGGCCCTGTCTGGAGGGTGACTCGACAACTAAATCCTACCGCTTCCAGAAACGGGGAAAACCCTCTGGAGGGGTGACAAGCCAGGGTGGCCTTGTGGCTGTGCCTGCGGAAGGTGGGCTGAGCGGGATCCCAGCTCCCGGATGAGGTGGGGTGGGGTGAGCGGGATCCCTGCTCCGAGGTGGGGCGGTGGCTGAGGTGGCATCCCCTGTCAGGGGCGGAGGGGACAGCACGGCCAGGGGAAGGGGTGTCAGGGCAAGCCAGAGGAGAGCCGGGGCAGCCCCAAGGCTCCCCAGGGAGCTGCCGGAGCTGTCTGGCCCCGGATGGGTCAGGGGGTCCCGCTGCAGCCCAGCCGAGGGCGGTAACCAGCCCGAGCCGGGGACACCTCTCCTCAGGAGGCCCCGGAACGAGGGGCGCCCCATGCCGCACCCCCGATTCCCCTCACGCTGTCGGGGCGGGACGGGCAGACCCCAGACCCTTCATGGATAGCGCGGAGGGGTGTCCCACACACCCGTGTGTGCCCTCGGCACCGGGCAGCCCCCCCGCCCCGCCCGGACCAGCCGAGCCCCCCGCCCGCGTCCTCCCGCCGCAGCCCCGCCCCGGCGCGGCCCGCGGCCGCCTCAGGCCCGGCATTGTCCGCGCTCGCCCCGCTCCCCCCCGGTTCTGCCGCCGCCTCCCTACCCCAGCTGCTCCTGTCCCGGCGGTTCCGGGCCATGGCGGCGGCTGCGGGAGGCTCCGTGCGCGCTCCGAGCCGCGCTGCGTCTGGCGGGGCTGCGGCGGCGGCGGCGGCGGCGGCGCGGGGCGGGCGGGGGAGCCGGCGGCAGAGGCAGCAGCAGCATCCCCGCCCGCCGCTCGGCGCGGCACCCGGGCACGGCACGGCACGGCACGGCACGGCACGGCACGGCACGGCACGGCACGGCACGGCACGGCACGGCGGGACACCCTCCCACGGCACCCGCGGGGCCGGCCCCAGGCTCCGCTGCTCGGGGCGCGCACGGCCAGGGGAGCCCCGCGGGGTGGGTGCTGAATACCCACCCGTGGGGAGCTCAGTATAGACAGGAGGATCCAACATCCAGGTTATTCTTGACAGCGCACTGGGATCATTGTGGGACACCCACACCTGGAGTATCCAAACCTAGGGGCACTGGATGCACTTGTAGAGACCCACACCCTGGAGACACCCACCCCAGACCAGGGCACCTGGCTCAGCTGGGGCACTGAGCATCCCTGTGGGCACCCACCCACAAGGGGCCATGGCTGGGGGACATCCAGGACTTGTGGTGAGTGCATGGGAACAGTTGGACTGTGAAATTACCACAGGATCCTGCCCTGGGGTGGGCTCAGCCAGGCCCTGCTCCTCCAATTCCACCTGTGCCAGCAGCATCCACAGGCAGCAGGAGACACTCATTGCAGATGTGGCACAAAAGATGCAGTGTGAGGGCTGGACTTGGACACCTGAGGAGGATTTAAGTGCAGCACAGTTGATAACATAGAATCTCAGAATGGTCTGGGTTAGAAAGGATCTTTAAAGGTCATTTTATTTCACCCTCATGGGCAGGAGTCCCTTCCAATATCTCAGGTTGCTCCAAGCTCCATCAAACCTGGTCTTGGACACTTTCAGGGATCCAGGGGCAGCCACAGCTTCTCTGGGCACCCTGTGCCAGAGCTCCCCACCCTCACAGTCAGGATTCCTTCCCAATATTTCATCCAAAGCAGGTGAAGCCATTCCCTGTGTCCTGTCCCTCCATCCCTTGTCCCCAGTTCCTCTCCTTCTCTCCTGGAGCCCCTTTAGGCTCTGGAAGGGGCTCTGAGCTCTCCCTGGAGCCTTTTCTTCTCCAGGTGAACATTCCCAGCCCTTCCAGCCTGGAGCAGAGGGGTTCCAGCCTTCAGAGCATTTCTGTGGCCTCCTCTGGACCTGCTCCAGCAGCTCCACATCCTTCTCATGCTGAGGGCAGCACTGCAGGTGGGGTCTGTCACAAAAGCAGAGTAGAGGGGAATAATCCCCTCCCTCAATCTCCTGCCCACCCTGCTGGGCAAGCAGCCCGTGCTGTGTTTGGCCTTCTGGGCTCCACGGGGAGCTTGCCCACTCCCACCTGCTCCATGTGGACCAGCATGGGAGTGAACACACTTGTCCTCAGCTACTGTTTGCCCACACTTGTGATGCCAACAAGCTCTAGAACAGACCTGACTCTGAAGCCACAGCCCAGTGCTGCTCTTTGGAAGACACGTGGCACAGCACTCAAAGATCAGCTGATTAAACTGGAAATGTGGTGGTCACCAGAGGGATAAAATCTGGCAGGATGGGAAGGGAACTGAGCCCCAGACTGTGTCTGCAAGTGGAGATTTTAGGACAGTGCTGATCATTATTGCACTCTGGCCCACGGCAGTCAAGGAAAGCCAGTGGCCATCCAGCTCTGTTGGATTCACAAGAGCCAGCAGGATCTGCTCTTCATTCCTGACAGCGGGAAGAGCACTCAAAAACGACCCAATTTTCAGTTCCAGGCATCTGATGTGTACCGAAGCCATGTGTTGTTGTGCTCCCATTGATATGCTGATACTTAATTCCTGAGAGCCTCCTCCAGCACTCTGTGACTGCCTCCCGTTGGCCTCTTCCCTGTGTTTACAGCATCAGAAGGAAACATGTAATTTTGGCTTTCTGAAGTGCTGGCTCTCTCACGTGGCAGACAGCTGAATCCTGCCCACCCCTGCCGGGCACTGCGACCACGAGGAGCTCACTTGGCTTTGCAGAAGCTGCGTTAGGATTTTTATAAATAATCCCTGAGATTGCATGTGCCTGGTGCTGCTTCAATGCAGCAGAGAAAAGCCAGGTGTTGTGAGGAGGGATTTCTTATGCTGGACACTGTCAGAGGAGTTCAGATAGGTTGAAAGAGGAGATTAAAAGAAAAGCAGCTGGGAAATGGACAGGGGAGGGGAAAAAAAAAAGAGGATGGAAAAGGAAATTTGTTAATTTGAAAGTCTAATTAAACTGAGATGGGCTCAGGTCCTGTTTTCCTCATTCCCTTTGAGAACTGCTGCTAAGGTCAAGCTTGTACTGCCCCATTTACTGGCATTTTCTCCTTTTCTCTTGCCATTACAGCACGTGGTATCCCAGTCAAAGAGGAGCGGAGAGGTTTGATCCTGTGATGTGCTGTGGGGGATTGTCTGCTTGAACTCCCAAGGCCTTTTCCTGCATTATTTCCTATGATTCCCAAGTCAGGGGGATGATCTTTTGTCCACAGAATGACTCAGCATTTGTTCATTTTCATCCATTCCTTCTCTCCACCCATTCATCCTTCCTTTCTTTTCCTAGTTGCAAACAGCCCTTCCCAGGAACCATCTTTACATTCTTGCTGCCCAAGTTGCCAGATCACAAAGATCTGATTTTACAGTAGATGTGCTGAATGCCTACGGACTGGAAGGATTCTTGAAGAAAAACGATGCTAAATGGAGGAAAGGCAAAAAGAGAAAACACCCCAAAGTGGGAAAACACAGCTGGTATCCAACACTGTGAGATACAGCTCAGAAAAGGCCCCAGAATTCAGAGAAAACCTGGATTTGAATCCATCCTGCATTCCACTGGCAGGAACCGTTTCATAATTTACCTTGATTCGAGTGTCCCATTTAGCCAGGCAGCATTTCCAGGAGCTTTTCATATCCCCGGCCCTTCGCAAACAGAAACCGGGCGCGTTGTGCAACGCTTATGTAAGAGGTGCCAAAGGGACGCTGCCAAGGCTCTGCTCTTGCTCAGGTGCCACCACAGGCTCGCTGGGACTTGCTGCTGAGGAAAACGCTGCCATCCACACGAGTTTTCCTTGGAGAAGGTGCTGCCTGAGCCCCCGGGGGACAGATCTGTTCTTGCAGTGGTTATCTGAGGTTCTGGGATGTGTTCGTTTCCTCCCCGCAGTTTTTGGTAGCACTTCTGTCTTTCTCGGGCTTTGCTCTTTCACTGCTTCTGCTAAATTGCATGGGAAAGTCAAAAGGATCTAGATGTCAAATGTGTCTGAAAAGCATTGGAAGGGGATGTCTCCCTGGTGATTACAGTACCTGGCAGGGATTCCTCATCACTGGTTTCATTTCTGTACCCTTATTCTAGGGTTAGGAGGCCTCAATTCCTTGGAAATACCAGAAGGGGATAAAACAGCATGAGCTTTTTCCCTGGTCTTGAAGCTAAAACCTTCCTAACATCTTTCTGTTGTTGGGTTGGGGTTTTTTTCCTTCCTGAAATATTTTAAGTGAAGCAGATTTTTGTTGCTTAGGAAATCCTGCTATTCCTGCAGCTCCCATTTCTCACCCCGAATTGTGCTCTGACCGCCTACATTTACATGGGCTTTGCAGCCAAAGGAATTATCTTTGCTGCTTCTGTAAACACGATTGCACACTAGGGCTGCTAGAAATACTAGAAAGTATTTCACTGTGGAGGAGACAGAATTCCAGCAGGTAATTAAATGACTTGTTTAATCAATCCGTGAAGAGGTTCTTCCTTCTGGAAGATGCTCTGTAAACCAAAGGAGCTACTTAAGAATAAAATAAAATTAAAAAAAAGATAAAGAATCATCAGCCCAGGCTTGCTTTCACCTCAGTGGCTGCCTTTGCACCATCTGACTGTGATCCTCTTATTTCTCTTTATTAGGAAAAGGTTCTTTCCCCAGAGCCTGGTGGGGCTCCCCAGGGAATGATCATGTTCCCAAGGCTGCCAGAGCTTCAGGAGAGCTCTCAGGCACAGGGTGGGGTTGTTGGGGTGTCTGTGCAGGGCCAGGAGTTGAACTGGATGATCCTCAGGGTAATTCCATGATTCTACAATTTAGAGGTCAGCAAGGCAGAGGATCTCTCCTAAGCCAAACTTCCCATCTATTTCCAATACTGTTTATAATTTGTCCCCTCTCTCCTGCACTGACAGGCAGATGGTCACTATTGAGAACATCCTTCCTCACCAGCCTCTTTTTTTTTTTTGTTTGCAACGTGGCTTTAGCAAGCCCAAGCCAAAATCTGTGCGTGCCAAGTTAGTTTCTAGGATTTCCCCCTGAAGATACACCTCAGCCAGGAAAAGGCTTCCAGCTCCTCTTGGCAGAACCAACCAAATCCACCTGCCTGGATGATTCAGCAGGATGCTTGCAAAATGTTCCAGCCAGGTTTGTGCACCTGGAAACGGGGGAAGCAGCCGGGTTTGCAGGCAGTGCTCTGAATTTCCCTTTTTAATGCTGTTTTTCATGGAAATGGCCACATTTTCCTGCATCCTTGTGCTGAGCAGTTGCTGTCTGGTCTCACCTCTGCCCTCCCTGTTCGTGCTCCTGGGAGGGAAGGGCATCCAGCTGGTTTCCTTCCTTTGAATGCAAAGAGCACAATCAGCTGCAAAGTCTCCTGAGATGCATCTACGTAAATGGGGTGACACAAATATAATGTATAGCCACAGTGCCCCTCTTCCTTCCGTGAAAAACAAATCCTTGCAAACAGGACTGAGCTGTGCCTTGTTTAATTCTCCTGCTCCTGCAAGGGACAAAAGGCTTTTCTCTCCCTTTTGTGTCTTTTCTCTCTTCCCAGAGCATCTCAGCACAAGCCCTGGAGAGAACCTCAGTCCACAGCAGACTGATGCTTCCTTGAGCAAGTGAATTTCCAAGCTGGATATAAGAAACATCCAACAGGCCTGGATGTCTCCTCTTTCTCTTGCCCTTGGCTGTGTTCTCTCCATCCATCTTGCCAGGACTTCTCTCTCTTTCTGCTCTTTATTTTCTTCCAGGCATTTTTTGTACTTGTCATCACGTGCCCACATCTGTTGCCATCCCAGTTATCCCCCAAAGGGCCATTCCAACAGTGAGAAGTTGTTCAGAATCCCACAAAATCTTCCCTATCCCTTTTATTCTAGATTCTGATAGCACAGCAGGTGAAGCAGCATGAACAGCACTGAAAGCTGCCAAAGTGATCCCAAGAAGCTTTAGAAGGTTCAGCATCCTGAACTGGACTCACAAACTTAAAAAAAAAATAAAAATAAATTTTAAATCATGGGGAAAGTGCTGCAGCAGCTATGAATGCCTTCCATGTGAGTTTGTTAGACTGTGTAAAATTATTTTAGCAGTCAGATAAAAAACTAGGGCCGAAATATTTTCACTGCTTTTAAAACCACCTTTATTATCTTGTTCAGTTAGAAATTTCTCCAGCTCTGCATCCCCCATTACCTGGTGAACCTGAGTGTCTCGTTAAAACAATCATGGCTGCTCTTCCTCCTCAGACTAGAGCACAAACAGATCACATTCTCCAAACCCACGTAATGCCTTATGTAAAACCACTTAACATTCCTTTTAAGGCTGGGACCCATTCAGATGGAAGATGCTGCATAAAAGCACATTCCTGAACACGCTGGAGCAGAAAAGCAGCGTGGTCTGGGGTGGAAAATGCAGTGTGTGCTCAGGAGTGCAGGCCTGGCAGGGCACAGGCTCCATGTCTTGCACTGAAAACTCTGCACAGCTCATCAGAATCATTAATTAAATCATTAAGGTTGGAAAAGCCCTCTAAGACCGTTGAGCCCAGCCCTTAACCCAGCATTGCCATGGTCATCACTGACTCATGTCCCCAAGTGCCACATCCACACTGCTCTTAAAACCCTCCAGGCATGGTGACTCCAGCACTGCTCTGGGCAAACAATGCCACCCCTTCCCTGAAGAGATTTTCCCTGATATCCAACCTCAACCTCTCCTGGCACAACTTCAGTTTCCTCCATTTTCCTAATCGTGAAATGGTAGCAATAAAACAGTCCCAGTGTTGCTTTTATCTAAGGATACCTCCCAGATGTGCTTCCAGCAGGGACTGAGACCCAGCTGGGAAAGGTGGATTAAAGCTCAGAACATGAGATGGGCTCTGAGAACTCACTCTCCACCACTGGCAAGATGGGATG